GGGAGGGTATCGCCGGGGGGGAAGGAGGATATCGTACTCGTGGGTCTGAAAACACGTTTCCCCCGTTCCGCGATGGGGTCGGTGACCCCATCTCCTCAGTCCCGGACTAACGGGGCAATTTCAAAGTTTGGACGTCGTCAGGCAGTTTATATCACTCCGTGTTTCCTTTAATTCATGCATATATATTCCCCTCCTTCTCCTCCCCCTCCTGTTGCCCCCTTCATCTCTTCCCCTCCCCTCTCTCCCCCTCCCTCCCCTCCCCTCCCTCCCCCCCTTCCCCTCCCCCCCCCTCCCCTCTGCCCTCCCCCCCAGCTGCTACTGGGTCACTACCCAGGGGAGGTGCAGGCGACAACCTTCCTGGAACGGTTGAGCGGCAACCGGAGATTGCAGTACGATTTCCTGAAGGCTGCCGTACAGCACAAGCAAGCTCTGACGCAGGTTCGCTTTTTAGCTAGTTGGCTGTGGGTGGTTGATGGAAGTGGCTGTGGATTGCTACTGCTGCCGCTGTCTTTTTCATTTTTGTGCGGAACGATGTCGCTGCTAAATCCCTCTGGCAATGGCTCCCCGCCTTTCCGAAATGAAAACAGTAAACCGTACTGCTACTGCTTTCTCACCTCACTTGCTGTTGATACTGCTACTACTATCACTGCTACTGCTACTGCTACTACTATCACTGCTACTGCTACTGTTGCTGCTACTGCTACTGGAACGGCTTTTCATAAACCCTAACCTCCATTTCAACCTCTACTTCCCCCGTAGGATCTGAATGGGAGCCCCGAAGAGACCGATATCGTACACGCACACACGCCGCCGTACAAGTCGTACTCCGCCTCCAACCTACACCCTGCGCCCGCCGTCGCCGTGGCCGCGCTGGGCTCATGGATGTCCCAACCTGCCGTAGCAAACACTTTCGTACAGCTGCTCTGCGAATTTGAGCCGTACGCCGTACTGCCGTTTCTGCAACAGCACCATGAGTACGACGTACGGCATTGCATTGGGCTGTGTAGCGCGGTGGGTGTTTGGGACGCGGAGGCCTACCTTCGCGAGCGGCTGGGGGAGCTGGAGGCGGCGTTGGAGCTGCATCTGCGCAATGTCGAACGGTAGGCGGTTAATTATATTAATGCTTTATTTCTTTTATTTTAGAGATTGTCATGTTAATGGCCAAAGTGTTTCTAGAGGTCCAGATTTGGTTGTAGGGTAACAGCCACATGGCA